CACACATGCACATGAAAAAAGCATCATCCGCGCTACAACTTAAAAAATGCCCCCCCCCCCCCTCCCCTCTCTGTCTCTCTTTCTCTCTCTCAGAGACATCACTCTTCTACATCAGAACAGCCTAGGCTACGGCTCTGAACCACCAGTTCTTCGGCGTCGGGCAGTACTGTGTTCATGTGCATGTCTGCACTCACCTGTGTCGCATTGAGACTGGGCTCGACTGACAACGGAACTAGGAAGGGCAAGACCACAGTGGCAACCTGTAGCTTCTCCAGACCCAGCTTCTTATTGTTCAGAATCTCCCTGTAGATACCTGCAAAAGGAGGTGCAGAAACAAACATCCATGTGCATGTTGTATGTGAAGCAAGCACTAACAAGATAGAAAAGTAAAGGATGCTCCATAATCATCTCATGAATTTCGGAGCAAGACATGTTATTGATGTGATGTCCTTCTACGGCTAACGGCATGCTGGGGCCGCCTTTACTACCTGTATCTTCATTGCATGTACCCCCCCCCCCCCCCCCACCACACACACACATACACAAAGGCACAGCGGCTGCGTACCGAGAATGGCCATTAGGACACCGGCTTCCCGGGATGGGATCTGTTGCAGTACAGGCAGAATGGATTCCTGCACCATCCACTTGTCCATGTGGTCCAGGATACGCCCAATGCAAACCAGCGCATTGACACGGATCTGCACAGCACAGGCACACGGTTATAGCATATTATACAGGTCAGTTGAGAACTTATTCTAATGATGCACACCCATATACACACATACATGCACCCCCCATACACACTAACATACAAACACACGTACACACACAAATACACACACACACACACACACACACATCAGTGAGTCACGTAAAGCAAATCAGGACGAGGAGCTTCTAACGCACGGAAGACAATGGTGCCTTTCATTCCATGGATGGTAGCCAATACCAGAAGTTGCGGACGGAAAAAAAAACATTTGACCAGTGTGCGAATCATTGTGACCAAGTTAGCACGGTCGTCGATCCAGGCAACGACATACCTTAAAGTAGCATGGTAGAGGCAGTCACCTCCACTGAACACTGAGTGTTTCATTATGTCCTGCAACTAAAGGTTAATGACCTCACTCATCCAGTAACAACCGGTAAGAGAGCTCACCCGAGAGAGCTCAGCCAAAAAAGCTTCGCCGAGAAAGCTCACCTTCAGGAAAGATGTGGAGAGGCAGAGGTTGGTGATGCGTGGGACCATGTGATGCTTGAGGCTGCTGTAGTCGACCATGGAGGCAAAGTTGGGCAGGATTGTTACCACCAGTTCCTGTAAACATGACATACCAATTTGGTACACACACCCAACCACACACACAGACACACATACACCCACACATACACACACACGTACACACACACACACGTACACACACATACACACACGTACCCACACATACACACATGGACACACACACACAGACACACACACACACGGACACACCCACACACACGGCGTACATACACAAAACAAACAGGAACACTCATGAGCACAATGAATTGCATTACAGGTGTAAGTCAGGCTGGAACTTTACACTGTACTTGCATACCATGTAGCATGTATGTCCCGTGGAAGAGAAGCACACACTTCTGCAAGTCCACTGGATACACACCAGTGGGGGTTTTTCTCTTATAGCAACACAACTGAACAAGATCTGACTGAAATGGATCAAGACTTGCGCCAGGTAACTACTGCCCAATGCACACAACTGGTGAAGGCATGTGAATTGAGCCCGCGACGAAACCCTACATATACATACTACACTATGGGACAGGATAGGACACTACATGTACTCCTGGCTCATTTACTGCTACAGTACAGCCAAGCCTCACTCACGTACCTGAATGACTTGATTTCCGGATTCGAGCGCACGATAGATCATGGGCAAGATGTGGTGTTTAACATCATGCTGGGCTGTCTTCGTCAACAAGAGGTCCATCTTCTGTAGTAACAACAACATGATCTGAGCAGACGACACACACAAGACAAAGCATGGTTGAAAGCAAACGATGGGATAAAACTGTACCGGAAGAGCTAACACGGTTATAATTATAGAGAACACAGATTTAAGGACTTGGAGCTTCGCATTGGCAGTGCTTTGAAAAGTGGCAGAGTCTCCTAAGCATGTGGGTGCTCAATCCCAAACCCATGATGCGGAATTGCGTCTACACTAGGCCTAATCTACACATGTGCGTGCATGCACACGCGCACACGCAAGCACACACACACGCACACACATCTCGACCCCCCCCCCCCCCCCCCCCCACACACACGCGCACATCTCGGCCCACACACACACACGCCCACACACACGCACACACACACACACATCTCGGCCCACACACACACACATATACACACACACACACATCTCGACGCACACACACACACACACACACACACACACACACACATCTCGACCCACACACACGGCCACAGCCCAAAGCACAGGCACAGAAGCACACATTACCTGTATAGGCTCCTGTAACGTGAAAACACTCTTGAGCGACGGCCAGACATGAAGCGCATACTCGTCCAGGGTACAGTCCTGAACCACGATCAGTACATTGGGCAGTGCAAACGGGATCATAGCCGGCTTTTTGAACTCCTGAAAGACCGCTGGCAGGACCCGGTTGAGTGTCACACGCTGCAGAAGAGAACAAAGCACATGCCGTCATGACATTAGTACATGACTTTATTGTGCACTGAGCAAAGTCGCAAGTGAGCAGCATGATACTCAGCGAGACGCACATGATGTCAGAAATACTAGTACATCGTTCCGTGGACACCATGTGGAGTATATCAACAAGCAGCCAGTTCCTACTGCTGTGGGAATGCCACGCATTGACTCAACATACAGCCCACCTGATTTGCAAACATGAAGCCACAGAGAATACGAAGCATTTTAACATATAGCCCACCTGGTATTTGCACACATCATTTAGTCACAGAATTTTGATCAGCTCGGTCTTGCCGTGCGGCCACAAAGTTACATGTGGTGCAGCTGTATACGCCATAGATACGCCATGGATATCGTAGTGGCAGGCACCATTGATACGCCATAGATACGCCATGGATACGCCATAGATATCGTAGTGGCAGAAGCAGGAAGCGAGTGCATTACCTTTGGCAGCTTTCCCAGGACCTTGTGCAGATTCTTGAAGAACTGCGACTTCTCGAGGTCAGGACGCTGCATCAGCGTTTCCAGGTACTGGAGGATCTGCAGGCGACTGTCGTTGTAAAACGGAATCTAGCACGGCGGCGACAAGCAAACACACGCAAAAAGCACATCAATAGCAGCACAAGGGGAATAGGATGCAGACTGGCAGTGCAGGAACCATGGGGTACCTATGCATTGTAGCACCTGCTACCTCGCTCCGGGAGATCTTTTGTTGGGAGGACGGGGTACTGTATTAAGTGACGTCTACCTGATGGCCTTCTTGAAGCTTGAATAAGAACGGGGTGCGAGGCCATTATTTATACAATATGACAACAGGTTTCAAAATGTGTGTAACGAGTATGTGCATGCACAGGATGCAATGTTCTGCATCAAAATTCAAACTTCGAGCATGACGATGTCGCACGCCGAGAGTCCATCGCTCCCTTGCCACTGGACAGTTCTGTCCGTTTGGTTTTAGCGAATTCAAATAAAGAAAACAACAACATTGTCGGAATGCCCAAGGTGTTCCATAACATGATCTTTCCACTTTTGTTCTCTCCATCGGACCAACGTTATGGCCACCAACACATGTTTCCAACTGTTGAGGTCATGTGACATGTGTACCCACCATACCATACACAAAGTATGAAAGGCCATGACACTACCGGGCCAATCAAAAAACTGCTTCTGGCGGTCCTGCACATACACGTACTTGCAGGCCACCCACGGCACAAGCTAGAGTGACACACCACCGGCAGCATACCTTTGAGGAGGCCAGCGCGTCAGGCCGCACCGTCGGCTCCATCGACAAGCAGTGCTTGAGATGATCGCGCGCATCCAGGGGAATGTTCCCGAAGCCGGCCGACGCCATGCGACTGATCTGCACACGAACAAAGACAACACGAGAACGCAACAGCAAATCCAAGCTCTCCACCCGGGTACAGCCTAGCACTACTAGTAATAAACAGGTAGCTAAACACTGTCAGCCATCATCCTGTACAAGTATTCGCAAGGCCAAGGAAGATGGAACAGTGAGAGTTTGAAAGTCAATAGTTTCTATCGGGATCGTGCACGTATTATTTCTCGTTTCGTTCTACTGTAATCCTGCGCGCATCAGACCATGGTCTCGTTGGCGGAATTTTAAAGAACACCTGCGATTACAAGGGCACGTGCCACTGAAATCACTAAAACTCAGGACACACTACAGAATGCATGATTTACAAGGGCACGCGCCACTGAAATCACTAAAACTCAGGACACACTACAGAATGCATGATTTACAAGGGCACGTGCCACTGAAATCACTAAAACTCAGGACACACTACAGAATGCATGATTTACAAGGGCACGTGCCACTGAAATCACTAAAACTCAGGACACACTACAGAATGCATGATTTACAAGGGCACGTGCCACTGAAATCACTAAAACTCAGGACACACTACAGAATGCATGATTTACAAGGGCACGTGCCACTGAAATCACTAAAACTCAGGACACACTACAGAATGCATGATTTACAAGGGCACGTGCCACTGAAATCACTAAAACTCAGGACACACTACAGAATGCATGATTTACAAGGGCACGTGCCACTGAAATCACTAAAACTCAGGACACACTACAGAATGCATGATTTACTGTACTATACTTCGACGTGCATAAAGACAGCCATGCACAGAGATGAGTGCAGGTAAATCATGCTCTAAGAGCTAATCTTGTGAAGTAGAAATGCAACTGAGTCAACACAACTGTACCCTCTAATTTCAGAAATTTCAGGCGCTCAATATTTTCGGTACGAGGGCAAAAGGCCAGGTCAGGTGAACAGAACTTTGGGGTACAGAGAAGCAGTTCACTATTGCATTACGTGTGTTAGTGGTTTGTTTGGTGCATTAAAATTTTTAGGTATGAAAACGGATGCGCCGAAAGTACCGAAAATAAAAGCACGCCGAAAGTTTGCGAAATCAAAGTAGCCTGTAGCAGCGCAGATGTGCGAACTTTTTTTAAATATTTTTAAAAAACTTTACTGTGTACATCAACACGGTGCACACGTCTACTAATGACTACTATCGGTAGTACATTGATGATTTATGCTGGTAAAAATGGCCAGAGCGACAGAGCAAGTAACTCACCGTCTCAATATTTTGCTTGTAGGACAGCAAGTTGTTGTTGCTTGCAGCCGGTACTTGTCCTTTGTTGTAGACCGTGTGCAGGGTGACGCCGTACGACCAGATATCCGACATGGTGTCCATTGTGCGGTTCAGCACCCGCTCGGGAGACACATAGTCCAGGTTTGGCTCGCTGATGGACGCTTTGCTGTCGTATTCAGACACCTTTATGCCCTGGTAAGAAGCAACAGCAGCAGCAGCAGATGTGCAGTTAGAGAACAAAGAGCAACATATATTTCGTCTCTCAACGGGGGGGTAGGAGACAAGGTTTCTACTGCGCCGTTCAGCACAAAGCTAGCGCTTCTTTCTGACTCACCGCTGCACTGTACTACCAAGGGTAATGCAGTGCTAGTTCACAAGAAGATAGACACCACTTTTCCGGAAGTAGTTCATACGAGAGGGCAGAGTAAAACTACCAAAACACCAGGAAGGGATAAAAAAAAAAGGAGGTAGTTTGTACAAATCTAAACGTCAATTAAAAAAAAAAGTATACTCACAAATACAAACAGATATTCATCGAGTAGAAACGTTCTTTCTTTTTAATCCACCAGTAATACTGTTCCTACCTCATTTTGTTGATATCGCTGGAATGTGTGGAAGTGGAAACCAGCCAGCTTCCAAGCACCCGACTGTACGACAACAATACTCTCCGGTGTAACGTTGCCATGGATCAGTTTAGCATCATTGTGTAAGAACTGCAGGCCTCCCAGTACCTGAGAGAGAGAGGGAGGGAGAGGGAGAGGAGAGAGAGAGAGAGAGAGAGAGAGAGAGAGAGAGAGAGAGAGAGAGAGAGAGAGAGAGACAGAGAGAGAGAGACAGAGAGAGAGAGAGACAGAGAGAGAGAGAGACAGAGAGAGAGAGACAGAGAGAGAGACAGAGAGAGAGAGACAGAGAGAGAGAGAGAGAGAGAGAGAGAGAGAGAGAGAGAGCCAACAAAGGAGAAATTGTAGGAAAGCTGCATTTCTGTTCGTACAAAGAGCGAAATGAGGAAGCTAGAGAGGCATGCTAGAAATACATTATTAGTCACGTACAGTCATGTACAGATAAGCTTTCCAGACCCGGGCACCTTGGCACAAAAAAGTGCCAAGATCTCAAAATTACCCAGATGTCACAACACCCTACACGTATACATTTCCGACACTGTCAATACTCAAAGCATACACATGTATTCATAAACGTCTTCTTATGCTGGCGATCAGCCTATTACGCACGGCAACAGTCCCGCAAAATAATCCTGGATCTGGGGAGTTTATACCTGTACTTCCCAAGCGAGCAGTACAACTGTGGCCATGAGGTTAATCACTAGTGTAAAACTTGCACTTTTAGTTGCATTAAAATTTCGGTGCCAGGGACCTGCCAGGTTTCAGGTGTAAAGTAGAATTAGGCGACCAGCTTTCCCTTCACATACAGCGCATATTCTAGTGCCGTTTAGGTGTAATTTAAATTAGGTGCCTGGTTTCTCTACCGAAATTAAAGTTACGCCGAAAATAACGTGTTTTACAGTATTTAAAAAAAGTCACACTTTCAAGCCTTACCGCAAGCATGCCAATGCGGATTTCGACGTCATCCATCTCGAAGTTCTTGATGGCGAACGGCAGAGGCTGCGGCAAGTTGGTGTAGTTTCCGAGAACGTTTGCGACGCAGCACTGTACTGGTTCGGTGGCGAACACCAGTACGTCACTGTGCATGGCGGAGTGCACACATACACAAACAGAGCACCAACACATGCATGTACATGCACACACAGACACAGACACACACAGACGCACACACACACAAGGAGTAAGTCAATGTCTCAGCAATTTTAGACTAAGATTTGTAGTAGACTGGAAATGGGATATGACAACAGTCCTTTGGGAGATTTAAAAAAAACCCACTATATTCGACCTATCACCAACTAGGATCTTCGAAAAGGACTTGGCACGAGATTAGGGCAAAGCAGTGTCATGATACGCACGGTTGTCACATCCACTTTCCACTGTACAACATATTGGCACAGAACAGATACAGCGATAACAAGCCATGGCCCTGTACACCAAGGTCCTGTAGTCATAAAGCCTCTTGTACGGGCAAAATGAATTGCACATATCATCAAACAAATTCAGTAAACTACTTCGATGTATTAAAAAAATCAATTTAAATGCTTTAAAATCTTGTAGGACGCATCACGCAGCTTCATAAGGGCCGGGTTCCACTGCGGCTCCGCTGCTCGTCTTTTGCGGCTTGAAACGTCATCATTACCATAGTGACCGCGGCTCGAGCTGGAGCAGCGAGTCCGCGGCTCACCGCGAGCTTTTGCTACGATTCTTGACCAAAAACTGCGAGCCGCGGTCGCGGCTCGACCTGTTTCCCGTACTTTGCATTGTTTTGTACGCCAGAATTTTAAAATTCAAATTTTAATTCGTTGCGCAGGCCAGAACACGAGGATTTTTTGATTTCGCGTGAGCAACACTGGCTCACACTCAAATCACTGCTTTTCACTTTCTGGTGAAAAGCAGTGATTTGAGAGTGAGCCAGTGTTGCTCACAACCAATTTTTAAATTTAAATGCTAGTAAAACAATTGGAACACAAATTGAAGGTCCTGTAGTGCACGTACAACCAAGCTACATGTTTGACGATAGCAGGTAACAAGGCGTAGGACACACTGTGTTGAGAACACTGCTCCTGGCTACAACCATAAACCAACGCAGTGCGTCCTCCGCCTTGCTACCTGTTATTCGAAACTATCAAGCAAGGCTTGCAAAACCACCCGACAGGCACAGGTACATGCAGTGCTCAAAATGAAGTATTGTACAATGACAACACGCCTTGCATAGTTACTCATGTTGGTCAACAGTGCTCAATAGACATGGCCATTTAGCGTTCGGCGAAACACAAAACAAAAACAAAAAGTACAAAAAATGGGTCTGTCCGGGATTTGAACCCGGGACCTCTCGCACCCTAAGCGAGAATCATACCCCTAGACCAACAGACCTGACACAAACCTCAAGGCCACTATTCCTGCTGAAGATTCATGTGCTTGCCTTTTCAGACTGCACATTCTGGTATAGCCTGGCATTTCGATACGGTTGGGATCCACCTCATCTTCTGCCAGAGTGCGCGTGCGGTGAATCCTTCACCGTTCGCCATGCATTGGACTGATCCCAAGGAGGCTTTCCCTGGCTTCGGCACAACGAGGTTCGGGGCGTGCCAGCGTCACTACTCGAGTGTGTTTCCTACATCGTCGTGATCGAGCCACACCTGCGGACAATCATCGGCGAATCCTTCCCGTATGGCTCTGGCAACAGCAATGCTCAGGCACGACTGGACAAAGCTGTCATCCGTGTCTGGGGTGGACAGTTTGACCGATTTTTTTGTGATGCAAGTTCAAACCGTGCTTACTTCAGACGCCTCCGGCTATCAATGCCAAGAGCGTGAAAAGCGGTGGTGTTCCAAGAATCGAGTCTGTGAAGTCGAGCATTGCCCCTTCTGCCCCCATTGTACTTTCTGCATCATGCCAGAGGCATGGGGTAGTCACCAACATTGCTATAGAGGCGTGTCGCTGACATGCTCTCGGAGAAGTACCAGCATCACTACCCCAGAATATGCAGTCTGAAAAGGCAAATACACGCACACCTTCAGCAGGATTAGTGGGCTTGATGTGATATCATTCAAAGCGCTAGGTATTAGGAGCACCCCCCCCCCCCCCTCCCTCCCTTTGGCTGAAGAAAATCTGCAAGACACATTGCCTCCCCCCCCCCCCCCCCCCCCCTCCCTCTGGCTGTAGAAAATCTGCAAGACACGTTGCCCCCCCCCCCCCCACTGTGCAGTGACGAGGCGATCATATAGACCACCCGTGCCTATTCCTCGCAGTTTGGGAACAGCCAATTCAAAAAGTGGATACAGCAGGAGAATTGGTAAAGAAATAAATAAACAAGCAAAAAGAAGAAAAAAAGAGAAGAAACACACACGAGAACGAGTTATGCCGCAACTATCCACGACTGTAACAAGATGATAAAGAGTCGGAATGTGCGATAGTCGTAGGTATTTGCTGCATAACTCGTTCTCATGTGTTTTCTTCTCTTTTTTTAAACATTTATTACTGGCTCAGTATCCGAATTAAAAAAGAAATAAAAGAAGGCGAAGCTGCTCACAAGACCGCCCGGCACCCAGGCACCGCTAGGCCGCAATGAACATACAGATTTCCAAACAAAGCGACGAAATATCTTTAGACAGAAGAGCAGAAAAATGTGAAAAAATGGGCCTGTCCGGGATTTGAACCCGGGACCTCTCGCACCCAAAGCGAGAATCATACCCCTAGACCAACAGGCCGAACACACTAGCAAACACCGATGAACACAGTTTAGGGCCGGGTTCCACTGCGGCTCCGCTGCTCGTCGTCTGCGGGATGAAACGGCATCATTACCATAGTGACGGCGGCTCGAGCTGATGCAGCGAAGCCGCGGCTCATCACCAGCTTTCGCGTCGCGGCTTGATCAAAAGCTCTCGCGGATCCTATACTTGCGGCTTACCGGTTCAATATCAATATGATAAATAGCGGTTGAACCTCGGTTGTAAAGGGCCATCCGTAAAAACTTAGAAACGAAAACTAATCGTTTAGGGGGAGGGGGTTGAGCGCCAGTTCGTTTCTCGAAAAATATCGATGTACATTTTGCGCGCGTTAGCATGTCTAGAAAAAAGATCAAAAATATCGATACTATGTACAGGTCTGCTCTCGATATAACAACTCTCACTTGTACATAAACCTCGCTAGTAAGTAAACATAACATACTCTCGATATAACATAATTTGTGCGTGGTCCCAGAGATTAGTTATATGGAGAGTAGACCTGTACCATTTGTATGTGTTCGTTTCTCAGGGAGGTGGGATGAAGAGAAACGACTTAGTCACTAGTTTTCGTTTCTAAATAAATATCGGTATTTACTGAAGGCCCCTAAGTCAACTACCCCTTTTTTGATTCATTTTTAGGTCACAAAAGATCGACTTACAACAGTTAAAATGCGCTATGTAATGAAGGCAACACGACGCGCACCGACGCATAACCAGAGTTGCACACTCTCGGCTATGTACCCATGCCACTACTACACTACATACATACGCTCAGGCTGTGTTTACACGAGAGTTTCAACCCAGCCAGGCTGAGTTTCAAAAACGCCATGAACAGAGATGGCGCAGAGCATGCACACACATGATGCATCGTGCTTGACCCGGGCGGAGATTTCAATCCTCTCCCTTGCCAACCTGGGTGAAGATTGGTCAGTTGCGCCCGGTGAAATCCGACCCAAACTGTCGCCTGGACCAGTTCCGATTACATCGTTGTATCTGTACATGTGTACGTCCGGTCGCATTCGTACCAATTCCAGGATGTCAAAGGCCGTGGACGTTGAGAGTGCCAGAAAGATACTAGCACAGTCAACTTGGCTAATAACGACTGCGGATATAACGACAATTCGCGAATAACGACATAATTTTCATGCCCAGAGCAAAGTCCCATCCAACTGTGACACATATAATGAGACTTCGGGTATAACGACACTTCGCGAATAAGGACACTTTTCTGATGCCCCGCCGAGTGTCGTTATAAGCGAAGTTGACTGTATGCATGTTGGCTCTGATTTCACCGAGCGCAGCTGTATTCAAGTGCGCCCAATGAATCCGATTTGACCACCAGCAGGATTCCATCAGGTCTGTTGGTCTAGGGGTATGATTCTCGCTTAGGGTGCGAGAGGTCCCGGGTTCAAATCCCGGACAGACCCATTTTTTTCTCAAGTGTTTGGATTGAAAATAAGTTTAAAATAACCCGCACAATCACATGTACACACTTAAACTTTATCATTATTTGAACACTTTTTTTACTCAATCTGCGGACAGAACTGTTTCGTCCTTGGTGAAGTCAAAATCTCACCGAGTTTCCTCCAGAGCATGATCTATTGTCAAAAGCAGTGGATGCCGGAGTTTAGCCAACTGCTGCGGCCCGCGACGCATCACCTCGAACAGCTTCTCTCGAGACTTTTTGTCCATCTTGTCGAGAGTCGGGGAGCGCTTCTGGAAGATGAACACACTGACCGCCTACACGATCCACAACAGAAAGCATACAACAACAGCAGCAAAAATACAAAGATGAGGTTTAGGTCACATACTACTTTAACTACCGAGTCAACACCCAAAGCATAGCACCACACACCCAAAGCATAGCACCACACACACACCACAAAACCACTCATATTCCTCCTGGCATAACTACTGGCGTGGCCAAATAGCATGTTTTATGTTGTGTGATGATTGCATAGCATGAAGCTCAGAGTTGCACCAAACTAGCCTTGTGCTGTGTTGTTCTGTGTAGCACGCTCTGCCTCCGCGTATCGAGCATTTCATAGCACACTGGGTGCGTACTCCGGCAATCTGCGCGTAATAAAATAAATAAATTTCACGGCTCGCCTCAGACTCAGTCAGACTAGTTTTCCCACATCCGCACGAGCGTCACCACCCCCAAGGATCAATACAACTATGTTGGGTGTCAAAGTGCCGCAGGATACACGCGGACACAGCATTCACCAACATCCACACATGACGGCAATGAAGTGAGTCAGGCCAGCCGGAACCAGTCCGCTTGGCTAGACCATGGCCGGACAAACACGATTAGGCCACCAATGCATAAGTTATTCACTGTTGAGTACAAATTCCACCGGTACCCAGCACATCATACACTGCGTGCAGCAGACTATGGTATGGCTGGACCATACAAAAACTACTTGCTTAGGGGCCATCCATAATAATCGCCATTTGTCACAACCATACAAAACATACGAAGGGGGGGGGGGGGGGGGGATATATTATATTGATTCGTACACTCTCAAGGCAAGCAATCTATTTATTGTACGTGTGCTATAGTTATTTATTACACAATGATTTTTACTGTGCGTGTAAGGTTTGGAGCAGACGGGGTCAAGAGCAAGTCCACGTTTTGTACGTTTACGTTTACGTGTGCATGGTTCCCAGGTGACTCCAGTCCACTGCAGTCCGCAGTGTACATGTGTACATTGCATACGCACAGGCACCAAACAAACTAGCTTGACGTACACACATCTTGATAGATTGTTTCCGAAAACAGCACTCTAGCCTAGAGACGGGTCGTGAATACCGGATGAAATGTCTGTTGTTTGAGCAATGCACATGTGCATTGCTCAAACAACAGACATTAATAAATATCGGAACTTAAATATCGGAACTTTTTTTCACAAAGCGAAATAATTTCGTTATGGGGTGCGAGGGGGTTGACCAATTTCGTTTCAGAAAACATTGATACAGTACATGTACAAGGCCATAGGAGCAGTGATACACCTGCGACCTTTGCTGTATATGCATGTATGTCAACATTTTTTTACGTTCTGAGGGGGAGGGAGGGGTTGGGTGTGAAATAAAATAATTCGTTTGGTGAAAAAAGTTCGTTCTTTAGGGGCCGTCCGGGGTTACCAATAGTTTTTGCAAAACGAAAAGTTTTAGTATTTTTCAGCACCCACCTACCTTTTCTGCAGGTGAAAGGAATTCAAATAAAATATTGATGTCAATTTTCGACACCCACATGCAACTGGGCATTCTCCATCTGCATTCAATAAATATTTTCAAAATGAAACTCCTTCAAACCAACCCACCCCCAAACGAAAACTTTCGTTTTGAAAATACTATTGGTAAGCTTGGACTAAGGACTTATTAGTTATCACACATCTCACGATGTGAACAATTCGGATCTCGAGTCATGCACCGTGCACCGATGCAACAACCCTGGGTCAGACGTGCTTGCATGCGTAGGTATCACATGAAATGATCCATTAATCTTGCTGCTCACAGGCCATCATGTGCATGCGCACTGTACACTGAAGTTTCTGATCACGAGTGCATTCTACTGGGGTTATGTGCCTACATCGTGTGTTGATTTCATGCATTCCCCCCATTGGCATTGGCATTGAGCCCAATGGACCTCCTTGAGAGCATTGTGTGAAATGTTATAAGATGAATAAATTACTAAAATTACAGTGGAATTCCCCTCGTATTGCACCTTTACGTGTTGCATAGTGCAGCAGAGTTCATAATAAAGCAATGGCTACTACATGTACGTGGTTGTGAATGTAGTCGGGAGCTCGTCCCACTAAAGAGTGGCTAGAAAAGTAATGTTTCAAAGTAGACAATGCATATAAAATGAATATAAAAAATGTTTTAGTATCCAGTCGAAACAGGCCAACAAACATACGACACGGGGGAAAGGCGTACCTTTTGCGTGCTTTTTCGTGTTCCCTGGTGGATCTTCCATTGCAGCTGCGGTCCAGCGCTGGCAATATGTTTCCCAATGTCATACTCTCGTTCTACAGGGTTGCCCAAGACAGCATTCTTCACTCGATCTAGCATTGACATGATCGCTTATTTTTCCGAAATCAAGAAACGAATCTCTTATAGCCAACGCTGGAAATCCCCATCAATCAAAGACAAGAAACATACAGAGGTGAAGGAAAAGCTACTGATGTTGAGCACAGAATGGTCAGGTCACCAGCTGAAACCAGCGGCGTCGAGACAAACCACAACAACGTTCATAAAAATTATCATAGCTCCAGAAAACTGAGAAATCAAAGAAACTGGTTTGAGAGGAAGCCGCGGGTCAGAGGAGCCGCGGCCGCGCCGACGCCACTTGAACTTCGCCCCTGGCCCTGACCCTGTCTTTCCCCAGAAAAGGGTTGTAATATTTTGACCTGGTTCATCAGGTACTGGTTGCTGACGTGACGTGATGACTGATGTGATGAGCTGAGGGCCCGTGAGGGGCCGTGGGGACTGAGGGCCCGCCCGTGTCCGTGAGGGGCAACTCTCGTACTGTACCACGGTCCACATGGTACTAGTACACACCGCGCCGGGGGGGGGGAGGGGAGGGAGTAATATTGGGCATTTAGTATGCTGTAGATGTACCTAGCCGGGACAACCCAGAGGGGGGGGGGAGGGGAGAGAAGGAAATCAGGGTCTGATCAAGTTGCCACGACTTCCGCGGCACTGAAAGTTGGGCGCAAGCAGGCCATGCTCGACCAAAACGCAATGCTGCCTATAGTATACCCCTTCACTTCAGTAAAGAGTGGCCTTTCAAAATACATGTAACTGCTGTCCGAATGCCGCAAAAGTCAGGGGAGCTAAATTTGGGGGCATTCGGAATACATGTACATGTATGGAAGTGCCAGGAACTCCAAAGTTCCAAAGACTACACCGTCCATAACTGAACTGTCGCTTGAGTACATCGGGAAAGTGCATCATGACCAAACTGTACACATTGGCAAGTGCCCAAGCAACTAACTTAGCAGCACCATGCATGCCCATACACTCAAGCATGCACATGCACAGGCAACTGAGGCGGGACGACTCGGGAAGCCGGATTGTGGAAAATGCTAGCACTCAACATGTACCCGCCGCGGAGAGCCACTGCGGACCCTTGGCGTGGGTTCCAAACACACCACACCACCATGGCAGTATACGGTTTTCACGGCGCCACGGTGAATCAAGATGCCGGATCACTACAGAATACCGTGAGTCAGACCTCGCTTATCCGGTCCTCCTTTATCCGGATCCCTCGCCATCCGGAAGAAAATAGCTGGTTACAGATGTACAGCATACGTGATGCATCCAACAAAACCGGTGTTCGATTATCCGGCTCCCTCGCCTATCCGGATATTTTTTTGTGGAAAACGGATGTGTGCGGCTTAGCGAGGTCTGACTGTACAACCGTTCGCGATATTTGGCATGTCACATGCCACATTGCAGGCACGTAGCACCGCCGGTGGTCCGGCAGGAGGAGGGGGGGGGGGGGGTCTCCCCGGGAAATTTTTGAAATTAGGGTGCAAAATCCTGCATTCTGGGCACTTTCTTCGTGGTCGGACGAAAACGTGGCCCGGCCAAAGCCGGACCAGCCGGACCGGCTGCTACGCCCCTGCATTGTGACACCACCAATGCTTCACAGGGCAAACGGAACACGTGAATAAAGTGTACATGTACAAGAAAACTCAGATAAATACCGACGTCACCCAGCACAAGCCCCTCTCGGCAAGAATAATCAGCTTTTAAAACTTTTTGAACCCGCAAACATGACTCAAATATTTACTGGAAATTCTCTCAGCCTCAACCTGTTCACAGGCACTTTGCACCAAATGTGATCGCCCATTCGTGAAAAAATACACAAACAGTACTTCATATTATTGAACTCAAGAGGAAGCCGGCATAGCGGCGTGCTGCTACGGCAGCATCTTGGACTATCAAACACACAAAAATAACCTCGGTCCAGAGTGCTGTCGTGTGCTATGCTAACGGGCTATGCGCCGGGAAAGCCAAAGCAGCACTCTCCACAAATTATGCATAATCATTAACGTTACGGCTATCTGCAACATATGTACAGCGCTGTACAAGGCCGCAACTTAGTGCTGCCGTGTGTGAGAAGTAGTATGCCATGGCAACTTATTGTTTGAGGGTGACAGCTATATGTAGGTGCGGGTACCTCTGTGAGTTAGACCAGGCCACACCCGCGTGACTGTCCAGTAACAATGGGCAGACTTGCCGTAGTGAATCATGAATCATGAACTGATCCGATGGCGTTCTGGCTAGCTAGACTGATCAGGCACCGGCACCGCCTCACCTCCATCCTGTGCCGGTGCATGCGGCTGTTTGGAGAACGTGGCGAAGTAGTCCCTGGCAAACGCAAAGACATCGCTGGGTTTCTGCTGCAAGACGAGCAGCATGAAGTCTTTCAGCATGGCGTCCAGCTCTGGATGATCCTTGTAGTATTCGGCGAGATCGCCGTGGACCAGAGTCTGCAGGAGGCAGCAACAGAGCAATGGTAGCAGTGTCTTACCGCATTTTCTGGAGTACAAGCCGCGCCCAGATGTTTTGTCACGAAACACAGACATCTTCCTCATTTCCTACCGCTAACTGGACCATCTTAGTAAAAGCCGTACAGACATTTTTCGGGATTGGTGTTTAATTAAATTGCGGCTTATACTCCGGAAAATACGGTAGTTCAGGCAACCCATTGAGCACAGAAGCTCAGCTTTCTTGGTCGTCACAGAGAGCGTATTGGTTCGGGGCCTAGTGATGGCAGTTAAATTACCTTCAGACGTTTCCTTTTTCAATTCCATGCAAAAATACACAGGAAGCTACGTTGAAAAATTAGACCACATTAAGGCATGTGAGTATCACAACATGTAGCGCTGCAATTTTGTTTAGGTATACTGCAATTCATGCCCTGCCCCGGAAAGTGATGGCGCGCAGTTATGTGCACGTAATGCCCACACTCTCGGCGGAATTACATCAATTCACTGGTCGAGTCTGCTTGAAAGAAAATGCGTGGCGACCTGTGTTTGCTTCACCGTTGCTTTTAAGCCGGACCTTCACGTGTCGCCGGGTCGTTTTGCCGAGCTAAGGAGCACAGAGAGCAAGGAACCATGATGCAACAGCCACTGAAGAACTGGTGCTTACATAGAGCTCGGTTTGACGCGACTGCATCTCAAGGTCGTGGCTAGGAGGAAGGTAGGAATGGCCGCCATCACCATCTGCACCGGATCCAGTATTGCCTTCTTCCGTCTGTGCGAAGCTTGCATAGGAGTTGACGGTCCAGATTGGGTGGGGCAGCTCGACATGCGTGCCAGAACGGCGGCTCTCACGTGGAATGGATGCTTCGGCAGCGTCCTCTTGAGGAGCAGCCATAGCTAGAATGCTTTGTCTTCGTCAGTCGACCTGCACACGCACGCACATGTACCATACACACACACACACACACACACACACACACACACACACACACGCACACACACACACACACACACACACACACACACACACATGACACAACAGTGAGGTGCATTGTGAATTGCCAGAATCGTCACAATTATTACCAATGGCACTGTGACCCCAAATATCATACGTAGTACAAGCAGGTATTCGGATTAGCGGCCAAAAGACCAGAGTAGGATTGATTCTTCACATTCATGTAGATAGTCGCATGGGTGAGTGTATCTATCTGCGCAGTAGAATGTTTCCACCATGTATCCCAAGTCATGTGCATGTATTAAGCAGGTACGCCCTGTTCAAGAGACCATCTGACATTAACAAACACCTGACCCGCTATACAAGATCGCTACTTTTTGGGAAAAAAATAACATTACATTGTCGAATCTGGAATGCCGGTCATTCAGCCGGTTTCCAAAACCACCTGCTTCCACCCAACCCCAAGGCCCCTGCATGGCCCCGCACCTCTGTGGAATACCTTCCAACGCCCGTGCCTACTGAACTAACAGTTACCGCCACGGGCTGGTCCCGTGGGTAGGCGCTGTCACGCTAAACCGTGACCAGATTTCAACTATGAAGGATCATTATGAGCTGTACACAACCAGTGGAGGTTGGTAAGCACTTCGCCGGTGTGAAGTTGGAACGAACTGTAACCGCGTTTCGTCATGGCTGAATTTCACGTATAACGTTTTTGCACAGGAAATGATTAGTTTTACTATCTCACCTCTCACGAGCTTAGAAGGTTCCACAAACTTGGCCATTTCAAGAATAGTTTGACACACTCAGATGGTGAGCCAAGGAAATTCAAACAAGGAAAACGGTGGGGCACAAGTTATGCGTCAGAGTCCACGTTAGACTGAGTGCACGTCTGGCTGTTCAAAACCTGGTTTAGTTGGTGGACTCTCTAAGCGCCCTCTTCCATAAAATTCAACATACCGTAAAGTCTTGTATAAAAGCCGCCCTCGAATAGAAGCCGCAATTTTGGGCCCATTAAATCACACATAAGCCTGGTTTTAGTGCTGACATACATAGAAATACATGTCTTGTATAGAAGCCTGTCTCATATAGAAGCCTGCAAAATTTCACCAAGAAAGTCATAGAAGCCGCGGCTTTTATACAAGACTTTACGGTACACACATGACTGTATATGTTGTTGGTTGGCAGCATGTAACAAGGTGGAGGACACCGTGTTCGGAAGAAGTGACCTTTCTGTGACAACCATCCTAATACCATGACTATACATGTGTCTTAGGCAGGGAAGATGAACAATACCCAGCAGGCAGGGGAGGTGGAACTGGTGCAGTAGGTGCGGCTTTGGCCGCACCAATAATTTCATGTAATCTACTTGGAGATAACAATTTAAATAATGACTGTTATGAATAAATAATCTATACAAAAGAGAAAGGATCAAGGAACTACAAGTTACGTTATACTGTCCACTAACACCACCAGTTACTAAACAATCAGCTCATGCGATAACATTGCACGGCACTGACCGACGGTACTGACGTTCTACAACTAACTGGCTAACAGCTCTAGCACATCTTGGATGCGCACTCCAACAGCCTTCCAACTTGGAAGGTTCTAAGTTATAGAAATAACATAAAGAGGGGAAGGTGAGCGCAACCAAGATAAGCACGAGCTGAAACCTTTGAATCCTTATGTTATTTCTATAACTTAGAACCTTCCAAGTTGGAAGGCTGTTGGAGTGCGCATCCAAGACGTGCTAGAGCTGTTAGCCAGTTAGTTATAGAACGTCAGTACCGTCGGTCAGTGCCGTGCAATGTTATCGCATGACTTGATTGTTTAGTAACTGGTGGTGTTAGTGGACAGCATAGCGTAACTTGTAGTTCGTTGGTCCTTTTTCTTTTGTATAAATTAACCCTTGGCTCTCCATCCAAGTCAAATGAAATCATCTGCGCAATTATACTTCAAACACACAAGGCAAGGTAGGTAGTAGTATAAAGAAAACGTTCTTAGAAACCTTTATACCTACCTACCTTGCCTTGTTGTTTCAAGTATGAGTGCGCAGATTTTTTCCCGTAGCTATGCAAAAGACGTTACTTCAGTAACGTCCGGCGCTAGCCAGGGTCCACACAGCTTCAATTCCGTATTTGTTTGTTTGTGCCTAACAACGTCGGCATGCCTGGCGCTATCCCGTACATGTCTCGTACCTGGAAAGAGAGCTGGCCACCTTATTCAAATACTAGTTGGGCTTTCATATGCAAAATCATAACGTGAAGCAACTTGGAAGAATGTGTACGTATTTGAAGTGCATCGGGCGAATGCATGTAGGGCGATAGCAAGAGTGCATAAACAAGAGTATGCAATTGTGGTTATGGGTCAGTGTGCGGCGGGCTGCCTTATTACGTAATTTGCCTTCATCACGCTCTGAAAGCATCATTCCAACTCAAAATTTCTCGTACGAGCCCATCCGTTTTTGCTCGATTCGTTCCAGTACCAACGCGATCTCTAAATTTTGGCGCATGAACTGCAGTTCGGTACGAAAGTTCATTTCAAACCAGAGAAAAAGTGCGGTGTTTGATTTTCCGCAGTGCGCGGACTGCAGCTGAATGATGTAATGAAGGCAGCGTGCCGCGCATCTGGCCCATACAGCATGCATACTGGGCCATAGAAAAGAGATCACAGTTGCATACTCTTGTTTATGGACTCTTGGCGATAGGTAGGGCTCGAATCCCATGTTATGTCTTTTTTTTAAAGATAGGAGAAATGAAAAAAAAACATCGCTATGTTTTTTTTGGTTAGGTCATCAAGGTTGTAGATGGTGTTGTATTATCGCATTATCGCTCGAATGTTTTTGGGTGTGCTGCTAATGGGCCGGGAATGTCTCAGAGCAGAAGGCGCTGCAGGAGTGCCTAGATAGGGAGTAGAAGATGCCGCCTCGAGAGTCGCCGACAAGAAACAATGGAGCAAGTATCCCTTCGTTTGAGACTCGCCGACTTCATGAAAAGATGCGTCGACAGCAAGAGACTGCTGAACAGGCATCCAGTCGGCAGGAGAAAAGACGTGATCATGCCCAAACTTGTTCGGTGCGCCGTGACTGCAGTCCGAAGGCATGGGGCCGTCGCATTATCGTTCGAATGTTTTTGGGCGTGCTGCTAATGGGCAGGGAATGTAAGGATCGGGTAGATTGCAGTGTTTTAATAGGTGCCTTTGTTGTATAAATAGAATGCCGAGATCATTAAGAGAGGACTATGAGGAAGAGCAAAATAACAGCTAGGGTGAGAGTGTTGAAGCTCTGAGTAGACGGCGTCGGCAGGAGTGCCTACACAGAGAGTAAAAGATGGGAGAAGAGAGGTCCCGCCTCCTCGAGAGTCGCCGTATTCAAACTGATCGGCTACATCATTGTATTGCAAAAACGTTTCCATCAGATCGAATAACATTCATGATGAGCTAGGGAAACAAGCATAGCGTAGGGCCCTGAGCTTTCAAGCTCTCTCGTTCATAGCATTATCGATAATTTTATCTTGGGATTTTTGAAGAAATAGAAAGTACTTCTTCAAGTAGTCTATTTGGGCCCTACTTCCCTAAAATGTTCCCAGGGGACGACCCATGGACTCGCCACCCATACATGGCCGCACAGATCGAATAACATTCACGATGAGCTAGACAAACAAGCATAGCGTAGGGCCCTGAGCTTTCAAGCTCTCTTGTTCATAGCATTATCAATAATTCTATCTTGGGATTCCGACGCCCATGATACTAGGACCGAACGCTAATCGCTACGACGTACCTGCACCAATTCCCAATACCGGGTCCAGCAACACCAGCCTGTTGAATGCTCAGCAGATGGACAACAACGTGAACAAGAGCTAGCCACGCGTGTGTGTGACTGTGAGAATGGCTATGATGGTCACGGGTGTGTCCGAGTCAACACTGTAGTACGGGCTTGTACCTAATGGCACTGCAACACAATCTCCAGCTCAAGAACAACGCCAAAGCGAAGGGCACTGGTTCACGCTGCCGCACTCACGCAGCGGCAGGTTGTGGAGCCAAGGACAAGGTGCGTTATGGCACACACGTGAACAGCTAAGTGCCAGAGTTAGATCCACCGAGATCCCCAACTGGAGCAGAGATGCAGTGCCAAAGAAAAACAAGTCAATCTTCATCAGTTTGAGGGAATGAAACGGAAAATGTTCGATCTTCTTGTGACATTTTATTTTCTGTACTGATACAAATCGGTGGCGGACGACGCGCGTGCATGCAGTCAGTCTGAAGTTTTCTCCTTTTGCCGCGTCTTCTGCAAAATTTAATAATAACTGTCTGTTACTCTGTATCCATGGTACCCGCAGTCCGCGAAGTAATTACTATTAAAGGCTATCATTTTTTATATCGATGTTTCGCGTCAGTTCAACTAAGTTACTTCCAGAATCATATGCGAGAGGTGGAAAAAAATAAAAAGTGGCAAAATAATAAAAAAGGCTCATCATCAGAGGTGTATGCACTGTACATAGCACAATAGCTCGTGCATGGTGTACATTCGAAAGAAAAATCGTACATCGAAGCACAACATCTGGGTTATCAGCATGAGTAAATATTCACTTTGGACAGAGGAGGCAACCATTGGTCATGGTGCCTATGCTTCGTTGGACTATTGTACTCAGACTTCAGCAGCGATGCAAAGACCTCCGGAACGACGCATCCTCTCAGCTTGAGGCTGTCTGGTGTTAGCTCATAGAATATTGCTCCCAGGGCCAGATGCCGAACAAACGATTAACCAACGCTGGCCTCGAGGCCATTTCTGAATCCCAGTTTCGCTGTATGCAACCAGTCCACACTGATGACTCGCACGATCGTACACTCACTGTGCATGTAAGATTTTTTTATTTTTTTTTCGAAAAAAATCAAAACGTATGCGTGCGGACGACGCGAAACATAGCTATAAAAAATGATGGCCTAATACTAGTCAATACAGTCATTATATTTACGGACGAGGCTCTGATGCCATACGTAGTGTACCGGTTTGCAGCTTGGTTTCACCGTGTAGATTTACATCAAGACAAGAGAGGCGACGGGCAAGCTTTCACAAGTTTCAGCAGCAGCGCTTCAACTAGTAACTTACTTCAAGGCCCACAAGGGTCGTTATTATCCACAAAATTAATGTAACCTGGTCGTTGTTGTCAGTTGGAACGCGTAGTCCGACGCACTGACTGCCGTCATGGCGTGCAAAGAGACCACGAATGGTAGTACTAGTAGTTATGTAGCGAGGTTTGCCCGGCAGAGCGACGATCATGCCAGTGCTAGTGATGCCACTGAAAGCAGAGCGAGCGATTCCGCCCGCACAGAAGCAAATCCCGGCTGTGCTGCCCGCGCGGGCGAGGCAATGGTTATACCGGAGGCAGTGCGTAGACTGAAGGATTTGCTTGTGGAGGAGTATGTCGGCGCCACCGTGGACATGGGAGAAGGAATGGTAGATGAGGAGCTGAGCGAGCCAAGCGTTTCAGACGTGCATGTGCATCTAATCATTTTGTCTAGACCTGAGCTTCAAGAGGAGTTCCGCAACCCGAGTTTTGATTCAACAGGCGACATGTGGCGAGTGGAGCACGTTTTCACTAGGGCAGCTGATAGTTTAGCGAACATCTCAATTGAAAGTCTCTTCAAGCTGGATGATCAGCAGATGCTGGAGTTTTCTAGCGGTCAACGCACATATCGCATCATGGCTGTTGCCAGCGCAGGATGCGGTAAAACGTTCATCTTCACCAGAGTGGCTCCATTGAAATGGGCCAGAAATGAAATGTGGACGTCATTTGACCTGGTGGTTGCACGTAAGCTACGAAACAAGGAGGTCAGAGAGGCGACGAATATCTGTGCTCTGCTTGGCGTGGAAGAGCAAGGAGAGTTTACAAGCGAGGAGCGCAGGAGCATCGATGATTTTGTGCGCCGTCAAGCGCACCGGGTGTGCCTCGTGTTGGACGGCCTCGACGAGATCCGGTTAAGTGACTGCAGTGGTTTTGTTCGGGATATCATCAACGGATCCAAGGCAAAGGGACTGCGTCTGGTTGTGACATCGCGGCCGTGTGTTGAACTGCTGAGCCTGTGCGAAAGAAAACAGTTTGATCGGCGAGTGGAACTTGTCGGTTTCCGTCCAGAAGATGTGGAGGAGTACATTAGAAAGGTGCTGAGAAAACCCGAGGAGGCGTCTGCTCTGGTAGCGACAGTACGTGATGACCAGCATCTTGGCAGCATGATGGCAACACCTTTCCTGGCCATGCAAACGTGCAAGATGTTCCACTGCCGCAATCGCGTACTACCCCGCTGCCTGTCAGATATCTTCGACATGATGATCATCCAAGTAGCGGAGCGTCAATCCGGCGAGCCGTACAATAATTGGAGAGCAATTCCGACTGAAGTCCAAGCCCTTATCCTTGGCCTTGGCAGATTTGCATTCAACATGCTGAACAGGAAACAGCTGGTATTCACCGATGGTGATCTGCAGACATACTCTATCTCCAGAGAGGCAAAATCACTGGGCCTGCTCGTGCTAGCTGATAATACAAGCAAGGATACCGACAGGTTGTGGATGTTCAGTCATCTGACCCTGCAAGAGTCCCTGGCTGCACGCTATGTGGCCGTGAAAAAGGCAACAACACTGACACATGTTGTACGCCTGGTGGAGTTGCTCGGTCCGCAAAGCTCTCACCTACGAACTTTCTGGATGCTGTTGGCGGCCCAGTTGGATACAGAGAAAGCCGACTGTTTGATCAACAGCCTTCTGACACGGACAGCATCTACCAAGGTAGAAACACAGTACTGGGAAGAGTCGGATGACGAGTGTGATGAAACGTTTGACACAGCATCACAAGTCTTCCCACTGGATATGGTCGAAACCCTATACGAATGTCTGGATGATCATGAGAGCCGCCGCCTTGCCGAAGAGTTGCTCAGTGAACAGATAGGTGGCCGCAGTGGTGCACGGTTGGTGGAGAGGCGATGTAAGAATGGCAGGAATGCTAGCACTAATGATTTCCTGAAGGAGCTTCTCCTCATCTGGGTAGATCGTTGCCCAGACGCAACTCGTGGTTCGTTGGCTGCTGCTCTGCGTTGCATGCGCCAAGATTCCCTTGCCCACGCTCTCACTACTAGTACGACTGGAGAACCAGTTCCAGAGAAGAGTTGCTTTCACAAGGAATTAACAGATGAACAGCAACGTACTAACTTGCATCTCGCTCTGCTCTGCTATGCAGAGTATAATCGTCACCATGGCGGAGTGCAGCATCCCATGTCCAGTATAGCTGAGGCATTTCAATGTATGACATTGCTGTTCTCCGATTACTACCCTCCTGCAGTCTTCCGTGCCTATGATGTTGCCATTGATGTCCACCATGCCTGCGTGTTCAGGGTAAACATTCGGATTTCGAACATAATCCTGTTACCAGCATCACTGCAGAAGTGCACCAATATCACAGACCTACACGTGTACCGATTCACTGGGCATTGGTGCCAGCTGATCTCCATTATCAAGTCTTCGTGTACTCACCTGAGAACTATCATTCTTCGGCTTTGCGGCCCAGGCAATAACAGCATGACTTCAGGCCCAGATGATTCTCAGCTATCGTGTAGTGAGCAGAATGCAGCAGCCGCAGAAGACAACCACACCGACTGCACCCGTGCACCGCTGCTCCTAGCCGAAGCTCTTTCCAATGTTCCTCGTCTTCAGAAAATCGTTATTATGTGTTGCGGAGGCATCAGTGGAGAGCATGTGGACATGATTTACAAGGCACTGGGTAATTCATCATGCCTAGAAGAATTAGAACTTTCGCAATCTGGCTTCCTTGAGCATGTCGGCATCCTGGCAGAAAACCTTCGTACAGCCTGGCCAATGATGACAGAGCTGGACATCAATAATTTGGGTGGGCAATTGCAGCAGGAGAAGTTATCCGACGACGATGTTGCTGCGTTTGTGCATTGTGTCAATGCACATCCCTTACTCCGGAGGCTTCAGTTATCGGCCAACATATCGGGACAGTCTCTTACAAGCGCCTGCCTCCGTCTCTTGACTAGGTCATCGTACAAGACTACGCTGGTGTTCCGAATCGGACTTATGGACTTGGAAAGGTATGTCGGGATGTTGAAACATGATTCCGGCGTTTTGGCTATCAACGGATGACCCGACCCAACATACACGGGGACGTAGCTCGCACATCTGTGGTGTGGTGACCATTTACAAGAGCACATATGTGGTGTGCTGTGACCATTTACTAGAGTACATCTGTGGTGTGGTGACCATTTACCAGAGTGCATCTGCTATGTGCTGTGACCATGTTACACCGCCACCTCATACATGTAGCTGCCATTTTGCTTATTGTGACTATACAGTACATGTGCCTATGACGACCATTTGCTGGTGTGCTGACCGGACTACGCTCACTATACGAGCTATGCGCCTGATACTCTCCTTCGTTCTAAATCTTCCATTTTCTCTACCGTGCGTTTTTCACCTCATGCTTATGCTTCCTTCCCGAATCTGGTGCGCCTGCCATGTGAAGATGCCGAGACCTCTGGTCGGTTGAGCATGGCACGCCCCACCAGCACCATCTCACCCCGTGCTAGCCCGATGTGCCTGCCGGCGAGTTGTGTATTTCGTAAAAAAAAAAACCGTATACCAGCGGGCCAAGTAATTAGTTTAAAGAATGCTCTACACCTGCTACCGCCTGACTACAACACAATCAGTCATCACACTGCCAACCTGATATCACAATCAGTCACAGCTACATGCGCATCTTTCTTTTCCCAGCATTCTCAGCTAGCCGTCGCATGATACTTGATCATCTTGCTTACTCCCCTCCTCTCCCCTTCAACTGCAGTTATCTTCTTGCTGCCGGCATGCCCCATTCACCTGCAGTTGTGCTGGATTCAATCTCAGGGTCTCAAAGCACACCAAGTCTTTCAGGACTGTTTAGACTGTGACGATTTGATGAAGTTTTCTGTTGTGTATGCAAGTTGGTCATAATATATCTACTACACCGTTTGCTACTGTATTGCGCATGCTCGCATATGATTGTTGTTGTTGCTTTTAAAATACCTGACCAAGAGTAATGTCTTCCAAATGCTAGTGTTTGTGTGTATCAGTGAGAATGCATGAATGTAATGGTATGTTAGTCCGCAAGGGGACATAACATTTTCTGTGTACAGTGAGTATCGTTTATAAAGTGACCGGGTGTAAC